ACCGCGGTTCAATCCCCCAGCACCACATGCCAGCCAGCCCTGCCCCCTGGTGGGCTGAGCTGGCCACACACACACACACACACATAAATAAATAAAAAAATTTTTAAAAAAAATACATTAAGATCTGCCAAAATGTAAAGACAGACTCTCATAAAGTTCAGGTTCTTGCTGCAGCCTTGTAGCTCTGGAAATGATATAACTGTAATGAGGAAAGTCATCTTAAAAAACATTGTAAAAATAATAAATGAGATACTGGTTTAAAAAAAAAAAAAAGTAAAGATGTCCAAAATGAAAGGGGCCAGGGAGATGGCTCAGTAGAATAAGCACTTGCCTCGCAAGGGCAAGGGCCCGAGTTCAATGCCTGGTTCTGAAAAAAAGAAGAAAAGAAAAGAAAAAAGAAAAAGCTGCTGTTGGGCTCTGCATTTCATGCAGATAGTGATAATGTAAGGGGGAAGGGTGCAGCCCCTGCCTGGACACTTAACTGGGAGTCGACCACCGAGTGCCCAAGCCCCAGCAAAGTCACCAGGACCCCTTTATAGCTATGCCTCAAAATTCAAAACAGTTGCCACCAATGTCACAGACAGTGGTTCAGACTACCCGGGACAAATTAAAATTATGATCGCAGGCCTAAGACATTGCGTTCTCCTCAGAGAAACTCTTAGCGGTATTTTAGAAAGAGTCAAGGACGCCAAGGCTAAGCCATCACCTGCAGCTGCTTTGCGTGAGCTCAGAAATGCACCGTTGCCGAAGGATCAAAGGACAGCTTCGCTCTCGCGGCCTCTGGAGTCCAACCTGGGTCTCCGCAAGTAAGCATACTCACTTCTTTTGCAATGCGAGGCTCACCCTTGGTTTTTTTACCAGCTCTGTGCCTGTGTGGAAGGGTCCCTGTGGAGAGGAAGACATGTCCCCTGCCACCTTTGGGTGGCCCACTTTACCCAGGACCTTTCGTGTCTATGCAGAAGCTGCAGAATACTTGAGGTATTTTAAGCACAGTGAAACCAATGCGGGGGGATAAAACAGACACTTGGGTGGCCAAACAGCCTCGCGCACACAAGGCAAAATTAAAAATCGGACTATAAACACTTTCTCTTAAGCAAGCAGCTAGGAAAGCTGCTCTCGGAGTGCACATAAAACCCCCGCTGGAGATTATAGAGAAACTCAGTCACGCGGCCCAACCAGGAACAACAACAAGCAAATGTTCTGAGCCTAGAACAACAAAGAGAGGAACAACAAAAAAAAACCTGCCTGGAACTTCACCCAGATGGTCTGTTACACATAAATGCTGTTCCTTAAAGTTACAAAAGCTCACTGTTACAAATCTTAGCTGATTGGTATATTAACTTTTTTTTTTTTTTTTTGTATTTTAGGGAAGGGTCTACAGGGTGTTCAGGGTTTCACTACTAGATCGGAGTCGTAGCAATCTGCCTGTTTATAGCCTCCCAAGAGCTGGGATTACAGGTGTGCGCAACCACACCAAGTCTCAATTGTGGTCTCTGCCTGCCCCTAGTCAGGGCCAGCACAGCAGTCCCTGGGATTGAACCCTGGGCCCCTGAGCCTGCTTGCAGGTGCTTTAATCTGCTGAGCTATTTGGCCGGCCGTCTTTTCTTTTTTCTTTTACTTCTCCATTCCCTTCTCTCTCCCTTTCTCTCTATGTCTCTTTCTGTTTCTCTCTCTCTCTCTCTCTCTCTCTCTCTCTCTCTCTCTCTCTCTCTCTCTCTGTTTTTTTGCTTTTTTTTTTTTTCTTGGCTCAAACTCACAGCAAACCTCCTGCCTCAGCCTCTCAAATGCTGGGACTACAGGCACATCCCACAGCCTTACCTTTAAGTTGGCATTTTTGCTCAATTGATGTGCTTAAAAATGTTTCTTGCATTCTGTAACTTCTTAGACTGTAGTTAAGAGTTAATCTGTTCTTTTGCGCTTCAGTACAGACAAGTTCCCTTCACTTATTGGTGGCCAGTCACACTTACAATGCAACAATTTGAGAAAACAACTGACACTATGGAATCCACGCAGCCAGCCGCGTTTGGTTTGGAAAGAAATAAGCAGGATGGAGAAGTCAATATGGCAAAAGGCTTTAGGGATGAGAGATGTACTTGGATATGAAAAGATCTGGGATGATAAGTTTTCGCCCTATCAAAGGAAGGAAAAAGAAGAGGTGGCGATTCAAATATGTCCAGCACGGATGCCTGGAGGATGCATTTCCTTCTTTGTAGGAAGAAATACGTGTGTTTAGGTGCTTTAAACTTTGCTCTGGTTGGTTTGATTGAGCCCAAAATCCCCTGCAAAAGCTCCTTGTTGTTCAAAATCTCGCAGGGGCGACTCCCCAGGGCCCATCTGCACTCTTGCCAGGGTCTCAACTCTCCTCTCCCATTCAACTGATGCCTTCAGACCAAAGCCAGAAGTCTCATTTCTTTTTCTTTTTCTTTTTTTTTTTTTTTTTGTGGAACCGGGGATTGAACTCAGGCCCTTGTGCTTGCCAGGGAAGCACTTATTCCACTGAGCCATCTCCCGGGCCCCCAGAAGTCTCATTTTTGAGATCAATATTAAATACAAGCTTTTCTACACAGATGATAGGGACACCTAAACTGGTCAGAGACATAATACAAGACAAAGCTGGGCTGGCGAGATGGCTCAGTGGTCTAAAGCACCTACTTGGAACAAGCTTGGCTAAAGCACAGGGACCACGGTTCGATCCCCCAGCACCACATGCCAGCCAGCCTCGCCCCCTGGTGGGCTGAGCTGGCCACACACACACAATAAATAAATAAATGTTTAAAAAAAAAAAAAGACAAAGCTGCCTTCTCAGGCAGTTCCAACCAGGTGTGTAACATCCATAGTTGCTCATTTCATGGTGTATTACACATATTTCTATTTCTCAGATCTATAGGCCTTCAGAGTTACAAGGCTAAAAACCATCTCATCATATTGGTGACTCCCAGGCTAAAATTATTCATGATGGTAAACTTTTATTTATTTTTTTTACTTTTATCTATTTATGTGTGTGCGTGTGTGTGTGTGTGGCCAGCTCAGCCCACCTGGGGGCAGGGCTGGCTGGCATGTGGTGCTGGGGGATTGAACCGCGGTCCCTGTGCTTTGCTAAGTTTGTTCTAAGTAGGTGCTTTAAACCACTGAGCCATCTCACCAGCCCCTAATGATGGTAAACTTTTAAACTCAAATACCTGTCTTTCCCAAACTTGTGCTCTAGTTATTGGTGACAAAGTATGCAAGCCAACCCAACACAGATAACCCACCACAAAAGACACAGTTTTTCAAGGCTTACCATGTGGAAGGATGCCTCAACTCTACAGTCCAAATAGTGACCCATAAAATACATCTATAGATAGATTCATCCTTCTCAGATAACACTATTTTTAAAAATCACAAATTTGGAAAAAAAATTCCTTCATGTCACTTAATATATCACTATGGTTGTTAGGCTAATATGTTATGTTGCCCTTGATCTCAAGTTTTCTTTATAAAGCTTTATCTCGCTATCTGCTAACATTCTACACAGATTCAACTTGTAGGACCACCATGATTGATAACAGATATGTTCCTTAATCAATCACTCAATATTGTCATTGATTTGGCTTACGCTGTGAGAACTCTACGGGTTATTGAAATTACCCTTATTTATAATGGCAATGATAAAATGCTCTTTCACATGTTTAGAAAGCTGCAGAATTCGACTAGACCCTGCACGGCACCTTGCTCTATCCCATGCCCTCACCCTCTCATCTCCTGGCCCCCTAGTGGAGGGCTGACCCTGGTTATGCTTTCTACAACAAAGACCCTCAACTATTACACAGCCCAAACAATGAATAGAAAATATATCTACAGACAATATTGAAAAGAGGCTCTTGCTTCATAATTTTTTTCACCAGGGAGCTAAGGCACTCTTCATTGTTTCAATCTTATACAAACAGGCCCCCCAAATCATCTGCATCTGCCCCAACTGCCAAAAACAGCAAGTCTATTCTTTATATAGGTGTCAATGCTACGGTTGAAAATCAATGACACTGGACAAACAGACCAACTCATCATAACCCTTTTGATGAATATGAGTAAAACACATTAAATATCATTTTACTCTCATGTTTTATTGTAGTGGGATTGCTTTCACAAATGAGATGACAATGACCTTGCCTCTATTTCCAATTGTTTTGGGGTTTTCTTTCAACTCTGGCATACTAAACATATCATAAGTATACCTTGTAACCCTATAGCTCAAGCAATAGTAAAACAAGCGAATGGGCTCCTTCAGATTCAGTTATTGGGGCCGGGGAGATGGCCCAATAGAATAAACTCTTCCCTGGCAAGTGCAAGGGTCTGAGTTCAATCCCCAGTTCCGAAAAAAAAAAAAAAAAAGATCCAGTTATTAAAACAAAAAGGGACAACCCCATTGTCTTAAAGAGGCCAGACTAAAGCAAAAGCCCTCCTCCGGCTTAAGGTGTCTGGTAAACTGGAAGTAGTATCTTATTCAGATTTTCCTTTAACCTTGAAATTTTGAGATAATTTTTAGATTTAGAGAAATATGGCTGCCTGTAATCCCAGCACTCAGGAGGCTGAGGCAGGAGGACTGATGTGAGTTTGAGACCACCCTGGGATACAAAGTGAGCTCAAGGCCAGTCTGAACTCACAGCAAGACCCTGGGCACTTGCCTGTAATTCCATCAGCTGGGAGGCTGAGGCCGAAAGAGCCCCTGCGAGTTCAAAGCCAGCCTGGGCTACAAAGTGAGTTCAAGGCCAGCCTGAACTTCATAGTGAAGGCTTGTTTCAAAAAAATAAAAAAATAAACAAAAGTACATCTCTGTATTCCTTTCACTCTGCTTTCCCTAACGTTAACAACTTATATAAACAGGATACAAATATCAAAAGCAGGCAATTAACACCAGTCTCATTCTATTAACTCAGCTACAGCCTTTATTAAGGTTTCACCAGTTTCTCCACTATTGTTCTTCCCCAGGCTTTGAATCCAACCCAAGACCATGACACTCCTACCTGTAGGAATCAGAGTTTCATCCACGGGTAAAAAAGTATCTGCTTCTATGGTGACTTCATGGTCATATATATTTGGGGAGCCCTGGGAGAAAACAGAAAGGGAAACATGAGCAGACGAGAGCTTACTATTATTTTACATATTTGCTTTATAAATTCTTTTGCAAAAATGTTTTCATTTAGAAATTCGTATTGACCAATGGTGATGATTGAATACAATCATTTAAACGTAGGTGGGCTGAACCTCCACACAGTTACAAAACTGGGAGAGGTTCCCAATGAGCGATTGCTTCTGTAAGCGGAACAGGAAACCCAGAGTGAGGGGGACCAGAGTGTGTGGAAGTCTTTTGGCCCCGGGCTTCTTTGTGAAGGTGGCTCTGCTGTTCTCCCACACAATCCAGGCAGACAGAGCAGCAAGGGGCGCCAGCTCGCAGCACGCAGGTGGGGTTCACTGTTCCAGACCTCACTGCATGGCCCGGCCAGCCTCAGGGTCCCCTGGAATCTCATGCCTTTTGGTGCCAATGTGGGGTAATAATGTCCCCATTTCTTCCAGGGTCCTTTGGAGGAGCCTGGTAAGGGCATGTTGTGCCATTTGCAACTTGGCAAGCAATTTATACATGCATATTTCTAATGCAAAGGCTTATTTTTAAAAATAATATTTAGTACCTTAGTAGTAGCATTTTAAATAGTAGTAACATTTTAAAGTAGCATTTACTAATAGTAACATTTTAAAGCTTCACAGCAGGGCTAGGGTGACAGCTCAGTGGAATAAGTGCTTGCCTGGCAAGGACAAGGTCCTGAGTTCAATCCCTGGTACCACCAAATAAATAAATAAAAGCCTCACAGCAAAAGAGGGGCAAAGAAATCAAGTGCTTAACAAATGATCAAAAATAGCTACTCCAGAGGTTCTTAGCTGGTTCTTTAGGGGACACTTGGCATGATGATCGTGACCACGGGTGGTGACACGTAGGCATCTAGGGGGTACTGCTAACTGCCCAGAACACGCCCATCCCTCACTGCAATGAAGAATGATCTGGTCCTTGGTTTCAATAGTGCCGAGGCTAGGAAACTCCAAGCAAATCAAAACTGAGCCTTTTCCAGACAGGGAACCAGGCTGAGAGCTGCAGAACAGAAAGCCTTGGGCCACCTGTTCAGATGCAGCCACTCTGAAAAGAAACGCTACGATTCAGAGACCATGAGACTGCAGGAACTGGCTTAATTGTGCTCCTGTGCGTTGCTGAAGAAGTGATTCCCTCACAGTCCCCCAGGGCGGCTGCTGGGCCTCTCCTCCGCCCACACTCCCTTGCTCAGCTTCACTTCAGATGTCAAAGGGCGGCTCCAAAGTGGGAGGGACCTGCGCCCTGCCCAGACCGCTCAGGGTGACACCATCTCTCCTGTGTGGCCCTCCTTTCTGCGGTCCTCTTATACCTCAGCACGGTGCTGCCACCGCAGAGGCTTCTGGGACTGAGCAAGGCGGAAATGAAGAGACCGATTTTTGGAACTGTTCAATGCTTGGCTCAACATGGAGTTTTGTTTTGTGTTATTTTGTGATACCACGGATTGACCTCGGGGCCTTCACACTGAGCTGATCTTCAGTAAGTCATTTCATTTTGAAACAAGGTTGCTAGGTTACCCAGGTTGGCCTTGAATTTGCAATCCTGCTGCCTCAGCCTCTCAAGTAGCTGGGATTATAAGACCTGCTCCAACATGCGTGGCTTGCTTTTTTGTTGTTGCTGCTTGCAGTGCTGGGGACCTAACCCAGGGCCTTGCACATGCTCGGCAAATGTATTGCCACTGAGCTACACCCTCAGCCCTAACAGAGGGTTTTGGGTTATGGCCCATGCACTGCTGAAGAGCCCCCTAAGAAGACTCCTTTGTCCTACCAGGTGTGGTGATGCACACCTGTGATGCCAGCCACTCAGGAGGCTGAGGCAGGAGGGTCATTGCCAGTTCAAGACCAGCCTGGGCTACAAAGTGTGCTCAAGGCCAGCCTGAACTGCACGGCGAGATCTTGTCTCAAATCTCAAAAAGACAAAAAAAGACTCTTTTGTCCTTCCTTTGTACAAGTCAGACTTAAATGCGGCCTCTGGAACATCACCAACAAGGAAATATTGCAGACGGTCAGGTCTGCCTCGGGCCTCACACCTGCCCAGGTCGTTACTGTTTCCTCAATGCCTGCATCTTTTCATTCTTTTAAAAAAGGTACATATCTCTAATTACCAACACACTGATTTCTATTGCTAGAGATTGGTTCTGCTCACTCTGGAACTTCACAGAACTAGAATCTCCCGGATGTGCTCTGTGCCTCAAATCTGCCACATTAGATTACCTATGTTACTGGTTTCATAATTTGGCCCTTTTCATCCTTGAGTAGTATTCTACTGTGTGACTATGCCACAGTTTATCCTTTTCTTGTTTGTTTGTTTTTTTTTTGAGATGCTACAAAGTTCAGACTGGCCTCTGGAGTACCAGGATTACAGGCATGCACCACCACACCTGGCTTGTTTTGATTTTTAAGAACTAGGGCCAGGCATGGTGCTGCACACCTGCAATCCCAGCACTCAGGAGGCAGCAAGATTAGTATGAGTTTGAAGCCCTTGTGGGCAATGCAGTGATTTCAGGTCGAGGCTGAACTCCATAGCAAAACCCTATCTCAAAACAACACACAACAAGCAAAAGGAACTAAGGCAGGAAGAAAATGAATGAACGTGAAATTCACATGTCAACCCCCCAATCAACTGGCGACTCTGAGATGGCTGGAAGAAGCGGGGAGCAGGGGAGGAGCGTCTGCCGGGCACCCCGGGCAGCAGCGGCCTTCCTGGGCAGAAGAGAAGCATTCATTCTGTGCTACATGTGGCCTGGAAAAATGCAGTGGTGGAAACCCCGCCCCACGTGCTCGGCCGCCCCACGAATGCTGCGAGCGTGTCCCCGTGTCCGTCTGTGCAACGCGAGGGAGCGAAGGGAGCCCCGCGCTGGCGGCCACGGCGAATGGCACACACAGTGGGGGACACCCGGCGCCTCATCACCAAGTCGCAGAGCCTGAGTGATGCCTACGGGCCGCCCAGCAACTTCCTCGAGATCTCTGCGAGCAGCCCGCAGACGGTGGGGGTCACATGGGCCGCCTCGCCACCACCTACGAGATCAGGGTCAAGACAAACCCTCCTATATTCAAACTAAAGGAATCTACTGTTAGCAGAAGCTACAGCGACTTTGAACAGCTCCAAAGTGAACTAGAAAGAGACAGCACGGTTGTAGTTGCCCCCATCCCTGCGAAGGCATTGTTGCGTCAACTTCCTTTTAGAAGAGATGATGGAATATTTGAGGACAATTTCATTGAGGAAAAGAAGCAAGGCCTGGAGCAAGTTATAAACAAGGTTGCTGGTCATCCTCGGGCACAGAATGAACGTTGTCTTCACATGTTGTTATAGGATGAAATAATAGATAAAAGTTATACTCGATCTAAGACAAGACATGCTTGAAATTTGGTGAGACAAAGGTGTGGCTATCAATGTCCCGCATGTGCCACTGGACATGTTCTAATTGCCTCTTAGCATGCTGCACAGAGACTGGAATAAGAGGCCTTTGGTATAGTGACACTCATGTGCTCAGTTTTGTTTGGCAGTTGACAAATTAGTTTGCTTTCGTGAAAATCTCTCATTCCAGCCTTTCTCTGGAAATAGCTCTTCCTAGCTGTTTTAATGTGGTATGTATACACTACAGCCTCATAGGCCTTCCCATATAATCTGCTGTGTCCTAATGACATTTTCTTTCTTTTTTTCTTTAGTACAGAATCTACAGGGTCTACAGGGTCTCACTACACAGATTGTGGACTGAGTGATTCTCTTGTTTTCGGCCTCCCAAGTGCTGGGATTACAGGCATGCGCCAGCACGCCCAGTCTCAATCATTGTCTCAGCACGCCCTGGGGGCAGGGCCGGCATGGCCTGTGGAGCAAACCCCAGTCTTTGCATCTGCCTAAGCAGGCGCTTTAATCGGCTGAGCTGTCTGGCCAGGCCCCTAACTAAATTTTCTGACTTATTCTTATTTGCACAGTTTTGGTGTCATGTTTGCTTCTTCAATCAGATTATGGAGAATAATTCCCCCCCCATGTATAATGTCACTTGATCTAATTTATGTGTAGGAGCTCTACACTGTTTGTTTTCAGAGCCGCACATGGAAGATATACATGTGCGCAGAACGGGTTTTCCTTCCAGCCTATAATACCCTTTATATGAAAAATTAATGATGGAAATCTTTATATTCTATATGAAAACAAATTCAAGTTTATATACTAAAATAATTTGTGTAAAAATTTAAGTTGTTTTCAAGTAAAAATGTATTTCTGATATGCACTGAAAAAAAATACAGTGGTGCACTGGGACAGAGCAGGACTGCTGGATCCGCGTCCTTTCCAGGCTGATGAAAATGGCAAGACACGCTGATGGACCTCGAGGCCAATCTCCGTGCTCAGGATTTACTTTGGTTAACTTCCTTTAGTTGCTGCCAGTTTGTGACGGGACTTTGCAAAGCTACTGAGACTTGCACAGGGCCTAAAGCACCTTCCTGTGTACTGCCAGGACCGCTGCTGTCACCCAGTTCCTAACATCCCAGTGCACGGGCACCACGGAACTGCTGGTTATTACACAAAAGCCACAGCAAGTCCTCCAAGAACATGTTTCTGTTCTCTGGGCAGAAACGGACTTGCTTATTTATGGAGGGGGGGGTGTCACAGAGTCAGGGGAGGGAGCCCCAACCCCTGAGCACAAGTACCATTAATTCCAGGAGCGTCCCACTCAAGGCCTCATTCCTGCCTTTTATGTCTTTTTATTGAATGAGGAGGAACTGTTTTGAGGAACATATAAAATATATAGTATCATAAAGACAATTCACAAGACTTCTGTTTAAAACATATCTTTTTAAAAAGAGGCAGGAGAAAGGTGGGCTGCGGGTTGGATGACCTTGCCCTTACTGGCAGTTAGGCCAGGCATGATGAGAGCCACGGTTTGGGCCTGCCGGAGGCTTCTAGAAAGGTTTTCTGTGTTCTAAACAGAGGAGGCACATTAGAGATATGAAAAAGGAATGGATCCTTTTTTGTCTCTGGAGATGATCATATGAGGAAGTGAGTCCCGGGGCTGTCGCAGACATTCGATGACCACGAGGGGACAACCCCAAGACAAACACCCAAGCACTGAGGAAGTAGACTGGCCAGTGGAGGCACCTGGATCCCCGCTGACCTGCTCTGCCTCGTCACAGCGGAACCACAGCTGTGGCTTTTCATGTCACATTCCCCAGATGTGCTGTCACGGCTCTTTGGGCAACATTTCCAGGAAGAAAACACATGCTCTGGGTTCTGTGGGAGGCACAGGAGGCAGAGCAGGAAAACAAAAAGCACTACACCCTACAGGCCTTTTCCGTTCATTGAGAACAGAGAGCTCTCCCTGCAGTCTCTCAGGACTCGAACCCTCAAGTTAGAAGAGATGGGCCAATTCTTAGGTTCCAAAGAAGAGCAAAAATACTAAGTTTAGAAAACAAGAAGGTGAAAAAAGGTGAGCTGACTGTTTCATTTAAAAAAAATGTTTTAGGGGGCCTGCCCCTTAGCTCAGTTCTTTAAGTGGCTGCTTCAACAAAGCAGTCAGGCTCAGGTTGCTGTGGTTCAATCCCCACAACTCAAGCCAGCCAAACCTGCCCTGAAGGCATTTGGAGCGAGAAAAAAAAAAAAGTTTTAGTATTGTTATTTTTTATTGACACAGGGTCTCGCTATATAGCCTGGGCTTGTAGTGATCCTCCTGTCTCAGCCTCCCCAGTGCTGGGATACCAAGCATGCACCATCATGCCCATTTTCAGTGGCCAGCACAGCCTGTGGTACCGGGGATTGAACTCGGGACCTTGTGCTTGCCGGGCAAGCACTTATTGCCACTCATTGCAGCCCAAGCTGACTACTTTAAATATCAAGCTTTGAGCTCTTTTCTTGGAGAGGGTTTGAGGCATGTACCAATGCTTCCCAAGATAGACAAAGGAGGTCTGAGTTACAACAGCCCTTGACCCCTGGTCTGTCACCACCAGCCACCTCTGACCAAGAGACCCTAAAGGCAGAGGCCCTCAACCTCAAGGCCTGTGGATTCGAGCTGCACATATTAAGAGGAAATAAAAGGGGAGTTTACAGCTAGGCATGGTGACACACACCCTGTAACCTCAGCACTCAGAAGGCTGACACAGGAGGATTGCTGATATTTTTTTTTTTTAATTTTTATTTTGTATTTAGTACAGGGTCTTCAGGGTCTCACTACACAGATCTGACTTGTAGTGATTCTCCTGTTTTCAGACTCCTAAGCACTGGGATTACAGATGTGCGTCACCACGTCCAGTCTTGGTCACCATCTCAGCACTTCCTCAGGGGTGCATGCTGGGGATTGAACCCTGGTCCCTGTACCTGCCTGAGCAGTGCTTTAGTCCACTGAACCATCTGGCTGGCCCTTGAGATTGTTGTGATTTTGAGGCCAGCCTGGGCTACATCATGTTTGAGGTCAGCCTGAACTATGTAATGAGACCCTGTCTCAAAAACAAACAGTGTGTGTAGGGTGTTTGTACTGACCACCTTTCTGGGTGAATCCTGAGACCTAGGAAATGATTCAGCCCCTGGGAAGAGATTCAGACATACCCATCATTTCTGCAGGCTTGGAAGAGTGGAATATGGACAGAGTCTTAGCAAACCTTGTGCTGCTATCTGTCTCCTTCCCAGGAGCACACTGGCAGGTGGAACACTTCATATATAATTTCTCTATTTCTGAATCTGCTTCTTTAGATTATTATAAAATTGGATGTCTCTAAATATACAAAACTGGGGCTGGGGAGATAGCTCAGTGGAATAAGCACTTGTCTGGTCAAATATACAAAAAGAAAAGTCACCACAATTTATGACCTACATTAAAAATCTTTTTTAAAAAATGTTTGTCTTTTTGAGACAGGGTCTCGATATGCAGCTCAGGCTGGCCTTGAGCTCACTTTGTAGCCCAGGCTGGTCTCAAACTCGCAAAGATCCTGCGGCCTCAGCTTTCTAAGTGCTGGGATTACAGGCGTGCAGTGCCATGCCTGGCCTACAATTAAAATTTTTGTTCTATTTCTATCATTTCTTCTGAACTTATTTTAAAAAGCTGACCCTCTTCAGGGAGAATATTTTGTTTCGGGCTTTTGTTTTGTTTTTAAAAATCTCAAGGAGGATAGGAGATGTTCCCGAAGATAAGAACAAGCAAACAAAAACCATCTTTCTTATTTTTAAAGAGTGAACTTTGGAAATTACATAAGAACCAATTAGCTCTGCTATCTGAAAAAAAAATACAGAAAAAAAAATCAGCAGAGCAGCAGCAAGCTCCTTAAAAAGGGCAAAAAATGCAAGCGCTATCACTGGCTGTGAACATCCTCTTACAGAAAGGCTGCCAAAGTGAATCAAGACAAGCGGACAGTGGTGAGTCCTCCGACGGGGCGGAAGCAATAGATGTAATCTACAGCGTTTGGCTGGCTTTGTAGTCTGTCTCAAGTGACCTCCCTCAACAAGCAAAAAGGTTCCCACTGGAGGAGAAGGCGGGGCATAAGGGGAACAACTGGGGCGGCTGTCAGCGGCTCTGTATCATCCTCAGGTGGGCCTTTAAGGCTCTTCCTACTGGGGTTCATCCCTAGACCAGCTGACTTCAATATCTTTCCTAACAGCTTTATAAAGTGCTTCTAACAGTGGCTGGTAAGTTATAGGCAGCTCAACAATCCCAGTACCTGAGAGGCTGAGGCTGGAGGCTAGTTGTGAGTTTGAGACCAGCCTGGGCTACAAAGTAAGCTCAACATCGGCCTGACCTGCATAGTGAGACCCTGTCTCAAAAAGAAAACAGAAGTAGCTACCATATTTCTCTGATAATAAGACCTAGCTGGAAAATAATCAGCTTTGAAAACTAAAGATCAAAAACTGACAGTGCCCATCAGCTCATCCTTGCCCTACCTGCTTCACAGAGGCGCCACCAGGCAAGAGAATAAAGTGCAGCCGCAGGTATGGCAGGGATAACCTGACTGGGGCTGGCATTTTGGAGCTCTTTCCAGGAAAGACAACATTATGAACTGTAGAATATGCCTATTCATGCAAAAGCCCTGGCCTTCCTTCTAAATTCGAGTCTGGCGTTCTTTTCCTTGTTCTGTGCAGGGCAGGACTGGCTCCCAGGAAGCCCTGCAGGGCCACGGGGTGGGAGTGCACACAGGTCGGCAGCATATGTAACCAGTGAGGCCAACCTCATTGCCAAACACCCGAGGGGAGAAGGCACTTTTTGGGGGTGGGGGTGTGGGGCTGAGACGGTGTTTCACTATGCAGTTCAGGCTGGCCTTAAACCCACTTTGTAGCCCAGGCTGGCCTTGAACCCACAGCCATCCTTCTGCCTCAGCCTCCACAGTGCTGGGATGATAGGCATGCACTTTAAATGGAAGCAGTCTGGAGGAGAGTGGGAGTTCAAAAACGGAAGCCAATATAAGCACATGCTGCAGCTGGGTGAGCAGGAGAGTTCTTGAAATAGCTAGTGACTTGTCTCAAAGCATATGGGGAAGCGCCTTCTCTTGGCAGGACAATATATTCACCCATCTTAATCTATGATGTCCTCACATTGGCCAAGCAATGGCTGTGACTCATCCACATGGCTGACACTGACAAAGGTTCTACAATCTGAGGTACAGGATCTCAGCATAAATCCTGAGGGGATTTCACTGACCTTATCAGACCCAAAAGCTACAACTCTTGTTGCATAGGTCCTGCTTTACCTTGGTCTTAACCATCCAGCAGAAAAGTATAAAAACATTATGTTGAGCTGTAGGGGACTCAGGTCAACAATTTCTGACATTGCCAGTGAAGCGGAAGCCCCAATACTATTATGGACTACTGGACTCTTTTAGAATATTTTGCTGAGTTAACACATCTATAATATTCAAATAACGGAACTTACCAAAAAAAGGGGATACAGATGAATGTCCATTTTGTATCTGTGTATTCAAAATGGTTAGGATAGATATATAGTTACATCCTCTTAATAAATAGAGGGATTTGGGCTGGAGAGATGGCTCAGTGGTCTAAAGCACCTACTTAGAACAAGCAACGCACATGGACTGCGGTTCAATCCCCCAGCACCACATGCCAGCCAGCCCCGCCCCCTGGTGGGCTGAGCTGGCCACACACACACACACACACACACACACACAAATAAATATTTAAAAAAATAAATAAATAGAGGGATTTGTTCTAATAGTGTTCATAAATAGGATATCATGTCTGCATCTTGTACAGTAATTAACCACTAGGAAGAAGTATGCAATGTGTTAATTATTGAAATTGTCCTACCAATTTGATTTGAAACTGTCTCATTTCAATTTGTTTCTCAATAAAATTATGGGGGAAAAAACTTTCACAAAACAAAAAATCTATGATGTCCTTTTATTGAGCACCTACCAAGAGCCAGGTGCGTGGCCGCGCCCCCTCACCTTCTTGGGGGTGACCCCAGCCCCGCAGGAAGTGCACAGTTGCACCTCCTGACTCTTCTGGGCGGCTACTGAGCGGAGGAGCGGCATGCTTACTTACCTGGCCCGCCAGATTGAAGTAGGAGTGGTTGGTCAGGTTCACAGGCGTGGCCTCACTGGTCTGCGCTCTGTAGTTGACTGTGAGCTCCCCACCGTCCAGGGTGTAGGTCACCCAGACTTTCAACTCCCCAGGGTAGCCCTCCTCACCGTCCCGACTGATGCGGAAAAACTGGACGCCGTTGGACAGCACTTGGGGGGTCCAGAGGACCTAGAAAAAAGCATTTTCTTAGCTACTTAGTCATCCCAGCCACAGCTAAATGCCACATTTCAATGTTCAAGAGATCTGGTGCCAAAAAGGGAAATAGTTCTATAATCATCAAGGCTTTTGACGAAGAGCCTGAATTTTAACTAATCCAAAACTTTGTTTTATAAAGATTAAGTGGTTTTTGAAAATTATTTTCTCTATACCTACTGCCATTCCCTATGTGCTTTCTAATTTTATATGTATCTATCATATTTTCCTCTTCTTCATGGATTTTCTTCTTTGATATATATTTATTCTAATATTGCAGTTCCATTTTGATAAATGTCATCCAGCAATAGCTTTTAACAGTACTAAAAAGTAACCTTCATGAATCACTCCCTGTCTGCTAAAGCATAGAAATACTTATAAACACCAAGGTTTTTCTGTTTCCAGGGTGGAATTTACCAGGTGTTGTTTTTTTTTTTTTTTTTTTTTTTTTTTTTTTTTTTTCTTTTTGGCCCAACTAGGGATTGAATGGAAGCCTTTACGCTTGCCAGGGAAGCGCTTATTCTACTGAGCCATCTCCCCCGTCCCCAGGGCAGAATTTAAAGCAAACAAAGTATTTGTTTTCCATCAGGAAGTATCCCAATCTCCAAACCAGGGATTCTAATTTTGGGGCCTGGTTTGTTCCTAATTCATGGTGTGACTTCAAGCTTTGATCTTTCTATAAAATAAAGGCACTTAAAAATCATGTTGGAGGGGCTGAGGCGATAGCTCAGTAGAATAAGAGCTTGCCTGGCAAGCGCAAGGGCCTGTGTTCAATTCCCAGTTCTGGAAAAAAAAATATTGGAAAGAAATCTACATTGGAGGCTTTTTGTTCTAGCAAATATGATTCTAAGAATGACAAGAAAAATACCAAGTTTTCTGAAGGAGCTTTTGGAACTAGGAATAGGAATACTTAATGAACACACAGGCTCTTCTTCCACCTGACCCTAAGATCACACTTCTAGAGAGGGGAAGAAAAACCCAACATTTATCGAATACTCAGTATGAGCCAGGACATCCAGCTAGAAACTTCACATCTGTTTCACAGCAGACTTAACTTAGATATTCTTATCTTCACTGGGGCAGAAGACGGAGGCTCAGAAAGGACAAACTGTTTGCCATGGAGCTGATCCCAGATCCCTTACTCTGCTAGCCAGACAGTCCCAGTTCCTTGAGGGAGTTCTGGGGTCTCCAGTGAAGAGTTCAGAGCAGATAAAAGGCCTTCACTTTGTGCAGTGCCCACCAATCCCTGACCTGGTGGTGCACTGATACCAACTTGCAAGAAAGGATTGGGTTAAGCCAAATGAAATGACCATCTTAGTAGGTCAAAACTTAAACACCAACAGTTTCATATGGCTCCAACTAACATGATTATTCCCATTTTACAGAGGAACAACCTGAGTTCCATAGTTATCTTGCCCACCGCTATCTCCCACATATTGGAGGAGTATTGTAGAACATTTTCACACTTCATTGTTTAAAAGGATAAAAAAATGTTGTTGAAAATTTTACATGCAATTGGTGCCACAGCCAGGACCCAGTCCTGTATGTGCTGCCGAAGCAAGCGTTCCACAGCCAGGATTCAGACTCTGCTGGCCGCGCACAGTGCAACACTCCATACCTTAGTTTCGGCTGGTGAATGTTTTTCTCAAATCTGTACAGTACAGTTGACGTCAAACCGTCATCCCAAATCAAGTCAACAGACTTGAGCCAGACGAATGCCCACCTGACAGTCCCTAGTCCACCCCCCAGGCCCTGGCCCACCCCCCAGCCCCTGACCCACCCCCCAGCCCCTGGCCCTGCCCACCACCACCTGTGGGAGCTGCTGCTCTCAGAGGTCCACTTGTCAAGAACAAGAGCTAACACTAGGCTGATCTCTATCTTCATCCAGGAAAACAGCTGACATACAAATTGAACTCACTAGGCTCAGTAAAAATGAATTTCACACCTGAACTATTCCCCAGAAATACTGAACTTTTAAGATACTTAAAACAGCAAGTGTGTTACACGTGTAATTAAAAAAAAGAGGAGAATTCCCCAAATGGAAAATCTTTGGAATTAAATATTCAAAATAAAACATCATCTTGCTAACTAGCTTGCTACCTAGATATTCTCCTCCTCCACCCCCTCTATCTCTGTCCCTCTTCCCTCTTTCTTTTCTTCTAACTCCCCTCACCCCATAGCACTGGGGATTGAAGCCTGGGCCTTCACACTGAGCTATATCCCCAGCTCTAAATCTTCTCTTTTAGAGAAATGATGCAATGGAAAGATTTTGCATAAACTAAGTTAGCAGTTAAGTGTAACATTAATGGAAAGATTTTCCTGACCTTGTAGTTTCCAAATTACCAGAAAATTTTCACGTCTAGGCTTTCAAGTATTATTTTGAATTCTCTCAAGTTACTCAATTTTCATCTTTAAAAAAAATGTGTTACCTGAGTGTGGTGGCACATGCCTGTAACCCCAGCACTCTGGAGGCTGAGGCAGGAGGATCATTTGTGTTTGAGGCCAGCCTGGGCTACAAAGTGAGCTCAAGGCCAGCCTGAACTGCATAGCAAGACCCTGTCTCAGAAAGACCAAAAAAGTATTGATATAAGTAGAAAAACACATGCCTCCAAACTATTCACTTAGCAGTTGTTGAGAGCCAATAAAACATTAAGAAGAAAGTTCCTTTGATGCTGCTTATTTTACTATATCCAAACCTACTGTTCAAAACCTCAGTGGCTTCGTAAAGACACTCATTCTCTCCCTGCCCCCACCTGGACTCTCACGTGGCTATTGCCCCTAACAGTTGCACAGCAAATGAAACACTACCTGTTCCTCTGGGGCAGTTCAGCGGCCACCTCCAGCATTGTTACTCCTTGGTTCACACCCAGGTCCTAGACCACACTGCTCACCTATGACATCATGTATGGAAGGGACCACCTTCCTCTTGCAACACCAAGCAGAAACACCAAAACACCACCCAGGATGTGGAGGGGGTTATCATGTCAATGGGCACTGATCGGGATCATTCCCAGAATATCAGACGCTGATCTCTAGTGGTCTAGGACTTATGAGATAAGCAAGCAGGAAGTGCTGAGACAGAACGGCTTGTCAACTGGGGATAGGTTTACACAATGTGTATCACAGTGATCAACTATTTTTTTTTTCTTTTCAAAGTTTTATTGAGGGGCTGGTGAGATGGCTCAGTGGTCTAAAACAGAAGCTTAGCAAATCACAGGGACCGCGGTTCAATCCCCCAGCACCACATGCCAGCAAGCCTTGCCCCCTGGTGGGCTAGGCTGGCCACACACACACACACACACACACACACACATAAATAAAAAAATTTAAAAAAAAGTTTTATTGATAAACATATAGCAATGAGACAGTTTCAAATCAAATCGAAAGTACAGTTTCAACAAATAATACACTGCATATATTCTTC